AGGGAGGTGGGGAAGGGCGGGCGGGGGCCGCTACGACGACTGGCACGGCGTGCTCGCTCCAGCCTGACGTGATGCAGGTCAACCTTGTCGATTCGGCTCTTGGCGTGATTGGAAGCGAGAACCACGAGATGGCCTCACTGGCCGAGCTGCTGGTCCGCTGCCGTAACCGTTGCCGTTGCCGTTGCCATCCGAGTGACGTCTCGAGTACTAGCAACTTGGTTGGCGGGTTGGCGGGTGGGAAGGTCGCTTATCGTCGTCGGATCAGCCGCCACCGGACGAGCCAAGAAAGGCAAGGCGGGCGCATGTGATCTCTGCGATGCTTCCACGTCGGCCGTGATTGAGATGCAGCTCGGAATCGCAGCAGGTGGGGTTGGAGTGGGCGAGGCGGGCGGTCGGGCGGGGCGGTCGGGCGGGCGCCGATTGAAAATCTCTGTTGAACTCGCTTTCGGCTGGGGAAGAAGGCGGGACCCTGGCGGTGGCGTCACCAGCAGCAGCAGAAGCAGCAGCGCCGGCGAGAAGAAATGCGGGCGCGTGTGAAATGGACTTTCTCAGGTCGGAAGCTTCGGATCGATTCCATGCAGCAGTGCGTATCGTGGTGCCGGCGCCTTCTCCACAAGCACAACCAACACTCTCTTTGCGGGCGGCTTCTCCGACCATTCTTCCTGCTCGTCACCATCGTCGTGTCTGCCATCACATTCGGTTACACTCGTTTGATCACTTTCGGATCCTTTCTCGGCGCACCTCCGACCCGGCCACCATCGTCGAGATCACCAGACCGCATCGATAACACCAAATCCACCAGCAAAATGGGCGTCCTCGACACCTCACTCGACCTCGACGCGCTCTTCCGTCGCCAGCTCAAGGCAACGCCGGACGCGATCGCCCTCGTCGACCCCGAGGCAAACTACACATACGCCCAGCTCGATGCAAAGGTCGACAGCCTCGCCTTCTACTTTCGCTCCCACCATGCTGTCGGCCGCGACTCGCTCGTCGGCATCCTCATGGGCAGAGGCGCAGACTATGTCATCGCATGCCTCGCCGCCCTCCGCGCTGGAGGCGCCTTCCTCGTCCTCGAACTCGCCTACCCGCTC